TTCCAAAGTACGACTTATGGATTACAATGGCTTCTCCTGTGAAAGCTGCCTTGCCCATACAACATGTGAGGACACAGCCAGAAGTCAGCCCCTGTGAGGAATGGGCCTTCACAAGCCATTGAATCTGCTGATGGCTTGATCCCAGATGTCCCAAACTCTGGAATTGTGAGCAGTGAATTTCTTTTGTTTATGAATTATCCAGTCTAAGGTATTTTGTTATAGCAGCAGGACAGACTAAAGCATTGCTTTCTTTACTTCTGAAAATTCCATTGTTGTATGCTCAAATACAGCCTACGATATTCTTATTGCAAAATTTTAGTTCCCTTTTCCTTAAGACTTTTCTTGACTTTATAAATTTCAGATTGGAACAGCAGAGCAGTAAATGTTGATTAATGGCATACAGAGATGACTGAGAAGTAGTTGGGTAACTAGGGTCAAGGCTCAAGGCAGGCGCTTGACTTTAGGGCAACTTGAAGGGTATTATGAGTTTGCTCCAAAGTAGTAAACAGATTTTAAGGAATCAGAACTTCCAAGGTGGTGTTAACACATCCTTTGCTGGGTTTTTCTTTACAAAGCTTCTTGGCTTTCATGAGATGCTTTCTTATGTTAATTAGGCGCTTATGCTTGCAGGTCATGATGCTACTTAGTAAAAGTTCTGGTGGAATCTGATATCCTGATGAAACCAGAAATGTTCAAGTATAGCAAAATATATGGTATATTGACAATTCTCTTTTCTTCAGAAAGTAAAAAGTTGATTTATGTTTTGGAAGAACAGTCTACAGTTTTTCATATAATGTCTAGGTAAATGTCTTACACCAGTAGGAGCAGACATTTAATGTTGTAAGTGAATACACAGGTACAAATATCCTAATTTTTGTGTTTTTAACAAATATATGTGTAACTAAGGTTTTGGTTCTCCTAGACAAGCATATAGCATAAAATCTTTATACTACATTCAATTTTGTTCATATGTTTCTAAGTTCCAAGTTGTCCCAGAACAAAATTCTTATATTTTATTCATTTTTGCTTTCATTTTGCAGCTGCCCCATGAGCTTTGGAGTCTATAAAGAAAAATTTCCAACAAATGAGTAGTGATACTTTCTTTGTTTCAACAGATATTACATAGCTTTTCATCCCTCCTGATGCACATACCAATTGAGGTTCTCTGTAGCTGTCAAGTTCAACTGATCTGTATCACTATCCCTATTTCTATTCACCATATCTTCCAACAGTTCTCCTACAGTGTTATACACATAAAGCAATATCAGTGGTTCTGAACTTTGGCTACACATTAGATTTACCTGGGAAAGTTTAAAGCCACACCAACACCTGGGCCCCATTTCCAAAGACTTTTGGACTCAATTTGTTTGGGGTGATATCCTATCAATGTTTCAAATGTTTTAAAGCTCCAGGAGTGGTTCTAATGAGCAGTCAAGGTTGAGATTCCTTGCTTTTACATATTACTGATCTACTACATTATGAATATTTATGAAACTTTATTGCCTACGGGAGATATCAGCATGTTTAAGTTAGAGACTACATCTAATTCATATATTGATTTTGATGTTGTTGAATTTGATTTCTATAATACTTATAAATACAGTGCTTTGTGAGACACTCCAGAAAATTCAAAAATATCAAGGCTTCTGTGTTTCATTTTAGAAGAGCACAAACTGTAATGGGAACACCAAACAAAAAAAAAAATGGAATACGGGTGATGCCCATTCAGAAAATAGTTTGTATAACATTTCAGAAACAACTACACAAGTGGATGATGCCCGTAGGAGGCTGGCTGGGGACAGAGGAGGGAATCATGATGGCTTTGCATGTTCAATGGATGAGGATGGACTTCACCAAGGTTTCTGTGCACAGTTCATACTGCACAAAGGTGTTTGAGCTTTAAGTATATCAATTCTTCCTAATTTTCGTATAGCTAAAGTATATTTGTACATGATCTGAATTGTATAGTATGGATATGATAAGTAAGCTTTTCTAATAGTAAAATGTTTTTCATTATGTGGTTAACATATTCATCAAAAAATGATAAATAGGAGCTAATGTAATGGTGTAGTAGACTAAGTTGCCAATGGTGGTGCCAGCATCCAATATCACAGTGCCAGTTTGAGTATTGGCTGCTCTGCTTCTGATCCAGCTCCCTGAAAATGCACCTGGGAAAGCAGCGGAAGATGTCTCAAGTGCTTAGGTCCCTGCCACCTAAGTCGGAGATCTGGATGAAGTGCTTGGCTCCTGGCTTTCGCCTGGCCCATTCCCAGCCATTAAGACCATTTGGGAATGGAAGATTTTTCTCTCTGTATGTCTGTCTTTCCTCTCTCTGTCACTTTGTCTTTCAAATAAACACCTTCACAGAAAAGGTCACTAGGACACAGGAATACAAATTACATCTGTTCCCAGATAACAATATTTCATGGGCTTAGTTGAGAAGTAAATGAAGTTGAAATATAGTTTCTTCTAGTCTAAAAGGCTTGGGTGTCTATTTTGAAAGATAGCCAGAGGAAAAAGTTACAGGAAAATTTCCTTCACTTAAACATTATTTTCTGCCTTGCAAATGTACTTGTTTACTCCATTTCCAAGTTATTCATTTTACATACTCAAATTTATTTCTCTACATTATTTTTGACTGCCTAATGCAATATTTGCTGAGGAAAGAGGCTGTAGACAAAGTATTGCTGTGGTATGACATCCCTTTAGACACCAGCTTTGCATTTAACTTAGTAGGTTGATACCATGTTCTCTTGTTCATTGCATTAGCAAGCTGCATATGTACTACATGACTGCCCTATAAAAGATTCTTTTAAGATCCACACCAAGGTTTTTTTTAGAAATATTTATATTTTATTGATAAGGTCATCAATAAGTCCATGTGGTATATACCACATATGAAAAACCAGGTAATCAGTGTTGATAAATATTGGGAACACTTTTTCCTTATTTTTCTCTTAAATTTGATTCCAGTGGTATGTCTGTGTGTGTGTGTGTGTGTGTGTGTGTTTGCATGTAATGTTCTAGTAAATATATAAAAATAATGAAGAATTCAGATATATATGAATATATTTAAATATAAAATAATTTTAGGTTGTAATATTATTATTTTAGGTTGTATTTTTTTACTCTAATATATTGCAAACTGGGTGGCAGAGAAACCTCCAGTGCAGAAAAATACCACTAAAAATAGCACCCAAGGAAAGCCAAATAACTGGGAAAAAGTAGCCTAAGAGAACATAAAGTTTTAATCAACCCTGTCTGTCCTCGATGTGAGTACCACAAAATCAGCAATATTCCTCTTGCATGAAAGAATGGCTTAGGGACTGGGGAGGCAGGAGCTTGGGTGGCATAGAGTGTATTGGAGGATTAATTATAGCAGTTAAGACACCCCTGTGAATGCCTACATCCAGAGCAACAGAGTGGGATTTCAAATCCTGACTTAATTTCCAATTCCAGCTTCCTGCTAGTGTGCACTCTTGGAGGCAGCAGGCAATTGCTCAAGTACTTGGGTCCCTGCCACCCATTTGGAAGACCTGCATTGAGTTCCAGGATTCTGGCTTCAAATAAAATAAAATAAATTACTGAGGCGATGGTACAATAAGGTGTGAGTGAGAAACACTTCTCAGGAAAGCCCATGGGCAGAAACTCTTCCATCCCCGTCCCCACTTCAGTGAAGCGATAGCCTCCCTGGCCCAGAGAGTTAGTGATCTGAACAAACTTCACACTCCCATGAAATAAAAGGGAGATACCTCTCTTCAGCCAAACCTGAGATTCGAACTTCCTCTCCCCTCTGCAGTAGCAAACCAACAGAACAACTGTGGCAGTAGAAGAGGTTTGGTGATGGAACAGTTCTATCATATTAGTTATGGTGATGGTCAAAATTCACAAAACTATAAACCCACTCCATGAGAGAAAAAAAACAAACAAGAAAATCCTTGAGAAACCTGAATGAGCACCATAGCCAAGTTAATAGAATTGTACCAAATTCAGTTTTGAGGAAAAAAAAAAAAGTATAAGCTTGCAATTTATATTTAGATAATACCTTTGTTATTCAGTCCTAATTTACTTTAAATCTTTCTGAACATCCAGACATTTAAAAACATGCTATATGTGATAAAGCTTTTTGAAAAGTTCTAGTTTTACCACTCAAATGCATTTTCTAATACTATTACTAAACCCACTATGACTAAGGAATAACAATTTTCCTCTAACTTTGAAAATCTGGAGTTGTTTTTTTTTTTTTTAATCCAAGCACAGTACCAATGTGAGGACAATAATCTTTCATACTTGGATAATGCTTTTTGTGATTTTCATGAATACAGTCATAGCCAGAGAATAATATAGGATAAGTTCAATTGCATGGGACATGGGAGATGCGGATGAATGATTGAGGCCAATGCTTTACAAGGCAATATTTAAAAGTAACTGAAAAAAAAAAAAAAACAGAGAAAGGCAAATGAACATTACAAATATCAGCAGTAATACTGCATTTTTGCATCATTGCCTTTTGCCTAAGGAATAGAAAGTTTTCCCATTTAACTTCAATACTTAAGTGATAAAGTTCTGTATTGATGTCTCTTTTTCAAATGGCACCATTAAATGATGAGGCAGTTATGAGCCCTGCCTGTGGCTACAGTGGATCAGAGTCATAAATTAGGATCTAGGTTTCCCATTAAGTGTCTTCAGCTCCACAACTAAATTAGAATTTGTTTCCAGGTAAATTTCTGCACATGATTCCCTTGTACAAGCAGAGGTTGATATTGAAACATCACCTCTTTATTAGGAACATGGCTTTCAGGAAAATTTTCTGCCAGCATGGTGCTCCTCACTAAGCAACACATGTAGGCATTTTGTTTAAGCTACAGAGTGGGATGGAGATGTCAGAAACTATTCATTTGACAGACTAAGCTTCTTTATCTTTACCTTGTATATAGACTTCCCCAAAGAGAGGACAATATCATTAATGGAATGCATGCTTTCCTCCTGTCTTTACTTACTTTCTTCTTTCTGTTTCAAATCGATGGAGTAGCTTCCGAAGACCACCATTCTTAAATCCCTGAAAATGGGCAGCTGGGGCTCCAACAGTGATGACATCGTAGAGAGCATCTGGAACAGAAACGAACGAGATGAACACTTTGCAAGCATTTGTCTCTAGCATGCTGCTTTCATTGACACACACACACAAACACACACTGTGAGAAGTTTGAAAAATTCTTCTGTTTAATTTTGCAGAAATGAATGTGAACTCACATCTCAAGGGGGCAAGAGGAGCTAATTAATCTTTCTAAAAGCCACCTGTGCACCTAAACAAGTTATAATATTTCCCTGATTTATGACTACATCTTAATTATATGCTGCAGCATAGAACAGTATGTTCTGCTATTCTTCTATATACTTACTGAGATAACATGTTAATTGGTCTTTTGTGTATTTTACTTTATTGAGTTTTGCATCATTTAATTTGCAATCATATTGAAATTCAACATTAATGAACAATTGTTCAGCCAAAATTTACAGAGAAAAGAACCAAAATATTAACACATTTTGGCTCAAGGGCAGAAGAGTACTACTGCACTTTAAAAAAAAAATCTATGCAGGGTAGTTTCTTACATGTGTACACTAAATCTTACACAATTTTGAATGCATATTTTTGCAATTTCCTGAGTTGATGTGGAAATAATGCACAAAATGTCTCCAACTATTTTCTAGGGAGATATTTTGTTTTATAATAAAAATCCATACATTTAAATTGAAACTCAATCCTTTGATCTTGAAAGCCATCAAGTTTGATACATATTAAGTTTATGACTTCAAAACATGCCATCATTTTGCATTCAAATGAAAACTATCCCCATAAGAAAGAAGACAGAGTGAATGCCCTCTTGTTAAAGTACATTTTACTTGAGAAACCTAATTTCACAGCAGATCCTTTTCAAATTGATTTTGGTATTGACACATTGGTTGTTTTTCTGATCTCATTTACTGGGAAAACATAAATTATTTTATTTGCCTCAGGTAAACACTGTAACTTCTTCAGAGTAGTTCAACCCAGATGCACCTGGATTCTTTTTTTTTTTTTTAAATATAAAATAAAAAACTTCAGAAGCCCTCAGAAAACACAAGGTCACAAGAAACAAAATGCAACTCAATCTAACACACCCATAAAGCATACTTTGAACTATGACTTGTAGATCACTGTGGGCTGGCTTTGTGGCTCAGTGCAATAAACTGTCACCTGGGAAGCTGGCATCCCATATGGGCATCAGTTCGAATTCTGGCTGCTAACTCCACTTCTGATCCAGCTCCCTGCTAATGTACCTGGGAAAGCAGTGGAAGATGGTGCAAATGCTTGGTCCCCTGCCACCCACCTGGGAGAACTGGACGAAATTCCAGGCTCCTGGCTTCGGCTGGCTCAACTCTAGCCATTTTGGCCATTTGGGAAGTGAATTAGTGGATGGAATATCTCTTTCTCTTTGTGTTTCTCCCTCTTTCTGCCTCTCTCTAACTCTGCCTTTCAAATAAATAAATAAATCCTTGAAAAAATATAGATCACTGTGGTAGTAATCTATTGCCCTTTTAGAAGTCTGTAGGCCGGCGCCGCGGCTCACTAGGCTAATCCTCCGCCTTGCGGCGCCGGCATACCGGGTTCTAGTCCTGGTCAGGGCACCGGATTCTGTCCCGGTTGCCCCTCTTCCAGTCCAGCCCTCTGCTGTGGCCTGGGAGTGCAGTGGAGGATGGCCCAAGTGCTTGGGCCCTGCACCCGCATGGGAGACCAGGAGAAGCACCTGGCTCCTGGCTTCGGATCAGCACAATGCGCTGGCCGCAGCGGCCATTGGAGAGTGAACCAACAGTAAAGGAAGACCTTTCTCTCTGTCTCTCTCTCTCTCACTGTCCACTCTGCCTGTCAAAAATAAGAAAAAAAGAAGTCACTGTAAATAAGAAATCAGCTTTTTTAAAGACAGAGTTTTTAGATTTTTAAGAAATCTAAATATTTCCTAGTCTAGCTGATTCTAACCTAGGGCTAGGAAAAGAGCTTCGTGCTATTCACAGAAATATGTAGAACACATAAACACATCTATTCTGCTTCGAGAAAAAGGACTATGGTTTACTCATGGGTTTTGAGATCACCCTAAAGTTTCCAACACTAAATTCTAGTGCGGTGTCATTTATATTATGAGAAATGCAAGGACAATGAGAAGTTAGTTGCTTGGTTTAAGAATCCAGAGATCTTACTCCCAGGGTCCTCAGATTTTCATTCAAACCCAGAGGGTGAACCTGAGTCCCTGGCTTTGGAATCTAGGCTGCCACTTTGAAGTTAGATGGCATCAGCAAAATTATTTTACTCCTTCATGCATCAGCTTTCTCGGCTTTAAAAATAGAATTGAGGAGTCAGTGCTGTGGCGTAGTGGGCTAAGCCTCCGCCTGCACTGCCAACATCCCATATGGTTGCAGGTTCAAGTCCCTGCTGTTCCCCTTCCAATCTAGCTCTCTGCTTATGGCCTAGGAAAGCAGTAGAAGGTGGCTCAAGTGCTTGGGCCCCTGAACATGTGTGGGACACCCAGAAGTTCCTGGTTCCTGGCTTTGGTTCGGCCCAGCTCAGGCCATTGCCCCCATTTGGGGACTGAACCAGCAGATGGAAGACCTTTCTCTCTGTCTCCCCCTCTCTTTGTAACTCTGCTTCTCAAATAAATAAATAAAATATTTTTAAAAAATGGAACTGAAAGCAGAAAAAAGAAGTGATCATCCAGTAAATTTTATTGTACTCTATAAGAAGCAATCTTAACAATTATAGGTGAGATGTATTTTAATTTTTGCTAATTTCCCCGTAAACATAAATAGTACAATTTGAAAAGGAAAACGGTACTCTGAAGTTTTAGCCTTCTAAATAGTCACTTCCTTTGTTAAACCAAACTAAAAGACAAAAGACAAATCATCAGAACAGGAGTGATGCATTTCTCCCAAAACTTGGGTGACCAACAACACCAATAATGCAAAGAAACGTTAAAATTTTTTATTCAGCATTAAGAAGCAAGGATTCCTGTCATCTGAGACAATGTGATTATGCGAAGTGAAATAAGTCAGAGAAGGACAGGTACTGCACTTCTACTTACTTGTACCTCTAATGATCTATATGAGCTTCCTAATGGATACTCATATAACAGGACTGGAAGAGGCAATGGAAAGTTGTTAACCAATGGGTATAAAGTTTCAATTACACCTAAATAAGTTCTAGCAACCTGCTCGGCCTCATAATGTTCTGCAGTTAATACAGTTTTAACAATATTGTATCCTTAAAACTGTGTCAAGAGGAGATCTCATGTTAAGTATTTTCACAATAACGTTAAAAAATAAAGAAGCACAAGGAGAATTGTAGAGGCGATAAATATTTCTATTACCTTGATAGTGGTGGTGAAAATTTCACAATGAATGCTTGCATCCAAGCTCATTGAATCGCATACATTAAACATATGCAGCTCTTTGTATAGCAATTATACCTCAGTAAAGCTCCTTTTAAATATAATATAAGCATATGTGTGTATAATATACATATAAATATTTAAATAAAATATATGGTCCATAAGCCCAAACAAAATGCACTCCTAATTCAACTTCCAAAAGTAAAATTGCCTATAGTCTCTCCAATAAATTTAGAAAGCTTGTGGCATCTCCAGCACCACCCATCAAGTAAGACAGATTGAAGAGACAATACGAAGAGAAAGACACAGAGCCTTCACTGATGGAATTTCAATGATTCCCCTTTGCCAAATCTGCAAAAACATTTGACCAACGCATGTTGCTTGGGCTCCTTGTCGTGCCTCCTGTCAAAGGTTCATGCAAATGAGGGTCCCAGAGACAAGGTTTATTATTCACTTCACATTGAATTTGTCTCTTCAATTCACCCATAATTTCAGGATCCCACAAAGCAACATTCTAGGGACAGAGATTTAATTCACCTACTTCATGGCTCCTGGGATTTCAAGGATCCAAGTGACTTTGAAGCAGAAGTAAAGGAAGAGAATCAAGTTGCTGGAATAATCTCCTCTCTCCATACTAAAAAGCACATTATTTAATTTTAAAAGTAAATGGAGGAATTTCAGCTGCTGGAGTCCATCTGCATATAACTCCTAAAGTGAAGAACAAGCTGTGCTGTCTGTTCTTTCACTTCTTTCCCTTCCATTTTCTTTTTATGAACTTCTCTCTTAAAGGATTCACACACACTTTTACTGAGTCCTATAAAATCTGCATCACTGGCAAGTTCTGGCCTCTCCCAGGTGAAATCATCTGATTGCTAACCACCTTAGGGAGGTCTCTGAGTGTCATCCAGACTGTTCTGCTAGTCTTGGTCTCTTGATACCAACCTGCTGTCCTCCCTCACTCCTTGTGACCAACACAGTACACCACATTCTTTGAGCTCTTCAGGGTCAAGCCTTTGGGATAATGTTAATTTTGTCTTTGCCTCATAATTACTTCTCATCAGTGCTAACAGCTCTGATACCAAAATCTAAGTTCTTCTTCTGGTCCATGTTAATGATATTTTTTTACCTTTCTGCTGACCTTGAAAGTTTGTTGTCAAGATAACTACTGTTACTTCAACGTTAGCCCCTCTGCATACGCCATGTAGTACCTCCCTCTCCTATACACACGCCAGTCAATCTGTCTGCCTGAAACACAAGACTCAGTACTAATTCCTCCTCACAGATTTCATATATTGATGGACATACATTCTGATACTTCAATGTCAAACTCAGCTCACATCGTCCAGCACAACATAAGCAGCAAGAGAATGGACATTACTGCAGTCAGATTCAAGAACACATCCTTAGCGATCAGCACATAGAAAACATTCGTCATTTACTGCCTTACTGTTGTTTAGCTGCACAGATGGTTTTCTAACTCTTGAATATTAGATGCACTGTTAAGGTGCACATTTTGTCCTTGTGTGGCTTCTCTTCCTACGTTTCGTCTCCTTCCCACTTATTCGTTGTCTACTAAAATTCCATCCCTCATTTATAAACAGTTACAATCTTTTCTTGAAAGCATTCCTGAACAGTCCAGTAAAACTAAGTTTTTATTTAAAAATTAAATTTGTGACAGTATATGAGAGA